CAACTAAGGCGCCAGCGGAACACACGACTACATTCACTACGAGCTATAGGGAGCCAAAAGAGAGAGCTTTGAGTCAGTGAGAGATGACAGGCAGATAGGAGTTTAGCAGTGAGACCTTTGTAGAGTTGAGTATGGCTATCTGTTACGAACTGATGGCGGAATTTCTTTAAACTTGTGGCGATCAAGATAATTAATTGAAGGAATATACTTTTGCCAGAGAGATTCTTTTACTTGTCGTCCTTTGTAACATTACTTGACGCATCTTTTTGCCACTTGTTATTTCAATATTTCAGATGAGTAGTTTTTCGCAGGTAGTTTTTGAAAATGGAAAAGAAGGATTGAGAGATGAGCAAGGCAGTGAACTGATGGAAGTTAATGATATAGAGGCTCAAGTTAAGGCTCTGGCTGCGGTGGATCAGTATTTGTATCGTCAACTGAATGTCGAAACTGAATTGGCAAATACATTCTCAAAGCTTAGAAGAGCCTACCACAGATACTATGCTGGCCAAGAAGAAGAAAAAGTACATTAACTGCTCAAATATGATAAGATGAACTTCATTTTACATATACTGATCAAAGCGCCTAAAAAAAATTGCGCCAGTAACGAGAAAATTTAATATTCATGAAAGACCAGGCCAGCGCTGATGGGATCAGTACAAGAATGATCCAGATTCGTTTTTCTTATAAAAAATTCGAGAAAACCGCAAGAAGTTAAATGAAAAGCATGAAGACTTTTTGGTAGCATTGCTTGACAAAAATCCCTCTATCAACATTGATCAGGCCTTAGATCAGTCAACTATTAATTTCTAGGGATTGAACATTGGAAAGTCAGCAGTTTATAAGTTCATTACAAAGGATATAGAGTTTGCGTTCAAACGAGCTGGATTTCACAGTTTAAAAAAGAAACGATGAGGGTGTAATTCAGGTAAGACATGAATGGGCATGGAAAGTCGCTAATTCAGATATGAATTTTTTCAGAAACTGTGCTTTCATTGATAAGTCTGCTTTCATATAAGCATGAATCGTGGAGGAGCTTGGGCTCTAAAGGTTGAGAACACCAGTGCTGTTTCCCATACCATATTAGGAACAATTTCGGTTTATGCAGTTGTAAACGTTAGTGCTAGAGTCCCATGTGAACATACCACTCAAATTGTTCCTGTAGAGGTTGGTAAGAAGAGAAAAATTGACAAAAAAAAAAGACTTAACAACCAAAGCCAAAAGGAACAGCGACAAACCACTATTTGCGCTTCTTGAAAGACTCTTAATGTCATCAATAACTTTGAATTATGCATAGCTCTTACCTTGTTGTGGACAACGCCCCATACATAAGCGAGCTGATATTCAAGAAATGGCCGAAAAGCGAGGTTATAAGCGTGTGTATTTGCAACCTTATTCTCCTGAGTTGAATCCCATTGAGTAATTTTGGTCGGTTATCAAGAGTAAACTCAAGAGACATGAGATTCTCCAAGAAGAAATATTACAATATTATATTATGGAAGCTTGTAGCCAAGTGCCTCAAAGCCATCTTTATGGTTTTATTAAGCGCTCTCACTCACGTTTGGAAGGTTTTTTTAAATAGTAGAAGCCATTTAAGTCCGTACAGAGCTAAAGCTTCTGATAATCTTCATCCGCTAACTTTTTACTGCTAAACAATATACCACATTTTAAAAGCTTTTATATAAGATTATTGACGCCCAAATTTAAGAGCACATAGTCCATAGCATAATGTATATCGCTAAGAAAGCAGAGATGGGTAGAAAATGTGAAACGACAGGTGGCAAAAAGATGCGCCAAGTGATGTTACAAAAGACGGCAAGCAAATTTTTAAAATACGAAAGTCAAATCAGGAAATCCGACGAGTTAGACTAAAAAAATCGACGAGCAAAAATACAGAAAGCAACAATTTGAAATGGAAACACTGTACACCATTTTCAGAAATTAACGTCGTTTCAGGGTGCCGTATTTTGTATGTTTTGTATTATAAATAATTAAATTATACTGTCTATAAGGCTACGGCCATACTTACAGATATTGTGTAACGTGGATATCTTCTCGTGTAACTCCAAATTTTTTATATATCAAGCTCGCCTTCTCAATTTATTTTGCTATTTTTCCTTGGTCATCTAACGATGGAAGCATTTGCTAATTCTACCTTGACTGACATCACTCAGTTAAATTGGCTCGAAACAAGATGGGAGCAAATGTATGAGGGTCGTAATCCTCTCATCGTTACTGGTGTGTTTGCCTTCTTGATGCACGAAATTGTTTATTTTGGTCGCTTCATTCCTTTCTTAATCTGCGACTTCATTCCTTATTTCCAAAAATACAAATTACAAGAGGTAAATGAACCTATTTATGCTCTAAATGGAAAGCTAATTGATAATAGGCTAAAGTAAATACGTCTGAAGATTATTGGAATTGTACCAAAAAGGTGCTCTACTCTCATTTTATCTTTGAAGCTCCATTGATCTTTTTCTTCCATCCTATGGCAACCTTTTTGGGTATGAGAGTATCTGCACCTTTCCCTGCTTGGTAAGTTTATCAGTTATATAATTGATGTGTAATAACCGTCACTAGGCAACAAATGTTACCTCAAATTGCCATTTTCTTTATCTTTGAAGACTTTTATCATTATCACATGCATCGCTTCATGCACTGGCCACCATTTTACAAGAAAGTACACAAGATTCATCATGAGTATGCTGCACCATTTGGGATTGCCGCTGAATATGCTCATCCTATAGAAACGATGATTTTGGGCTTTGGTACCATTGGTGGTCCACTTATCTATCACGCATTTGCTTCCTACATCTTTGATTTAGGGCCCAAGTGGGACCTTCACTTAGTTACCATGCTCTTCTGGATTGTTCTCAGACTCTTCCAGGCTATTGATGCTCACTCAGGTTATGATTTCCCTTGGTCCCTTTGCCATTGGGTTCCTTTCTGGGCTGGTGCTGAACATCATGACTATCATCATCAAGCGTTCATCGGAAACTATGCTTCTTCATTCAGATGGTGGGATTATATTTTTGGAACAGATGTCAAGTATCGCGCTTATCGCAAACGTCAAGCAGAAGAACGCCGTAAATTAAAGACAAATTAGATTCATTCATATTCCCCTCCTTTTCTTTCCTTCATCTCCCTCCCCTCCCCAACTCTTAGATTTTTTTACTATAATAATCACTAATAATAAAAAGGTTCTTTGTTTTATTTTGTTTATAAAAGTTTGGGTTCAATATCCAAACTGAAGCTTTGGATCACCTTTCCTCGTCTATGATGGTTATACTTGGCTGCTCTTTTCCTTTTTAATGCCTGTTTAGCCAGTTTTTCTTGCATTGCTTTTATTGCTTGTTTTGTCGTTGGTTCCTCATCTTCATCCTCGGACCTATCATTCTGTTGAGTATGTTTTTATATGCTCCTGAATCTATTCATACCATTCAACATGTCTTGTTTGGTTCATTCGATTAGAAATCGTCTTCCAGCTGAATCTCATGATACTAGGAAACCCAAAAAAGGCATCTTCATTTGCGTCCATCCATTTTATCGTATTTGGATCTGATGGGTAACCAGAGCCAAACTCCTTGGACACAACACCCTCAAATCCTGGTTCTGTCCATAACCAATTTTGCACATATTGATCTCGAGTCACCTTTGCGCATATACTTGCAGCACTTACAATGGGGTATAATGCATCTGCTTTTGGTTCGACGGTTATACCAACACCAGGGAAAAAAGAGAGTAACTTCTTTCTGTAGGATTCTGATGGACCAACAGGATCAACATAAATCTGAGACATACTTTAGCTCTCTCTCTTTAAACTGTTATTTCTTTTCATACCTCTTCAATGTTCACTTTCTCTTGTATAACTTGTTTAATAAGCTTGATAGTCGCATCATGAGCCATTTCGTTCAAATTATATACGGGACTAAATATATAAAGTTTATTACATACACCCGAACCACTTTTATAGTTACTTACCGACGAAACATGTTTGTTGATATGTCTCTAGGCGATATCACATACACTGCCCATCCAATCCAATCCTTATTTTCCTCAATGATCTTGGCAAGCTGTGATCGTTTTTCTTCAGTCAACTTTTTTGAATCTAACTAAAGAATAAGTTCTTGATCTCATAACATGATTCACATCTACCATCAAATCCGAGTTTCTTGAGTTCTTGGTGACGAGACAAGGGACAATAACATACAGCATAGACCATAGGACCTTTTTTGTATAAAATAAGCACATGATAATCAACATTGTATTCTATTTACCCAAGCATGGACCTCTTCCGGCTTCATCTACGCCCAGGACACATGGTTCGTTCACTTTATCTGGTCTGTTCTCTGCTAGTAATACCGGAACAGGACTAGCATACATATATGACTTTGTCAAAGGAAGCTTTACTGAAGGTAATAACACTTTACTTAGAGCGCTTGCTTGTATTTTGGTTTCCATTGTCTCAACTAAAACTGATTCTGTTGATTCCTTTGTCATTGACTTTTATAAATATTATATACACACGTCAAGAGAACAAGAAAAAAATAAAAATAAAAAAAGGGACGTGTTTCTCGTGCCCTTTTTTTGACAGTCCTCTCCCTGCCCTCTTTTCTCTCTTTTTTTTTTCTCAACCAATGTTGTTGTCTAAATTAGCAAAGAGAATATACAATCCAAAAGGATCATGCCGTACTTTTGATACTATAACAAGGACAGCCAATCAACCTGTCAAACGATGGATTCATTCCAAACCAAAAGAGTATAACGGCATCAATAATCTAGCACACCATTTCAAACAACAGGATCATTTCTCATATTTCTTAAAGTACATGATGTGGACAGTATTTGGCTCAACTGCTCTTCATCTTACCTGGCGTAAAATGGAATACAAGGAACATAAGGAAAAGACACAGCACAAAATAAAGGTATTGCAGGAAATTGTGCAGACGTTGGAAAGAGGAGGGGTGGTTGATGATAACCTGCGGAACGAAATAAAGACTGTGTTACGAAACGAAACCTCCTTGTTAAGAGACGAAAAAGATGATGAAGAAGAGGAAGAAGAAAAAGAAAAAAGTGTTTTAGTGAAATGTAAGTGCTACTTACTATCTATGTCACTTCAAACGGAGTTAACCATATTAAATAGTACTCGAGTCTTCTTCACCAAAGACAGAACCGTCTTTAGAAAAGGAAGTGACATCTGAAGAAACAAAAGAGGAAGGAAAATGGTTTGAACAAAAGACACCTGTTTATTTATAGACTTCATACGTTTAAACAGATTTTTATTTATAAATAATTGAAAACCTCTAATGGGCACACGATTGTAATATTACATCTTTTCCACCCGAGGCAGTTCAGAAAGAAAGGATAGTGGTAACTAAAAAACCCTTTTGGGATCAAGGGTAAAAATGTTTTGAAAGGAGTGAATGGGATCAAGTGTAAGATACACTAGTGAGAAGGAGAAGAGAGGAGCCATTTTAAGAGCCTTTGCCCGAGGTGAGTGGGCGGGATAGGCGGAAGTTTAGCGTGATGTAGGTAATCGAGTTCATATAGGATTCTGCATATAGTTGACCAGTGGATGGTCCACGAAAGTGTTGTATTAGGAGAGTGAGGTTTCTTGGTAGGTAGCATATTTAAAAGGAAGGACAATGGGTCAGAAATGGTTTGGGGCATCATGAGTCTACGGTGCATCTGGAGACAGTGTATAGTATGGACTTTTGTGAAGGATTGGCCAGGGTGCCGGGGACAGGTTTTGTATCGACCGTCAGGGAGCCAGCCAAGACACCAATGTATGCAGCGATTTCTTTCAGACTTGGACATAGGTAGTCATAGGACAGGATCGAGTGAGATAGTTGGGCGGCAGTGCGTAAGAAGAATGGAGGCATACGTAGATCGCTTATTGTTGAGGTTGTCTTGACGGTATTCTCGTTGCATCGACCGTAAAGAGCGACGATCCAGGGATTCTGGGTTGGGGGGACATCTCTTCCAAATGGAAGACCTATAGAGCTTGTACCATTGGGATTGACTTCGAAGTTAGCGGATAAGTGGAAGAAGATGGTGTAACAGAACATCTTCTGAAAGAGTAAGGGAGCGTAGGAGGAATTGAGGTCGCAGAGTATAAGCACGTTCCTGCATGGTTGATAGCTTCGACATATGTAGCATTACTGTGATGGACGATGTGTTAGAGCCGCCGAAAATCCGACGCAAACAGACGTTTTGGGCATCTTCCAGTTGTTTGCTAAGGAATGTTGTGATCCTGGTAATGGCCAGGCCGTATTCCAGTTGAGCACGAACAATGTGGCTGTAGAAGCAGTACCAAGGAAAGGAGAAAAGCCTTTAGGGTTAGCACCAATAACTGAGAGTTGGTTCATAGTAGCAAGGGCTTTGGTCTTGTTTTGATTGACTAATGCGACAGCATCAAGATACTGAGAAAGGACAGGAAGGGTTGACTAACAGGGTAATACCAAGACTACCTCGATTCTTGATTGATTGAATAGGTTGACCATAAATATGAAATTGCTGCCAGGATGTAGGATACTTGTTAGGTGAGAGGAGCCATGATTCGGTGATTAAAAGAACAGAAGAGGATTCAGCTAATTTAAGGAGTGGCGAGATAGCTTGTTTTGGTAGACCCGTGGCGTTGAATAGCGATATGCTAATCGTGATCATTATAGTTGGGAAGTGGTATCCTTGCGGTCTGAGAGAAGCATAGCGACGTCCCCATCAGTATTGAAGACATTTGTTGGGTTGGTGACTTTAGTAGGAAGACTTTCGTTAAGAACAAATTTGCTAATCCAACCTTGATTGTAGAAATAACGGGCTACAGCTGCCTTGACTGGGGTGCGGATATAGGTAAGGGCTTTCTTCACGCGATCACTATGGCGCATAAGGGCAGAGCCATCGCGTTCTTCTTTAGAGCAGTGTTCATATTTGTGGTCCATGAGGATTGAACCGTCGCAGGGGTTGAAATCGTCCTTGGTGCGTACCTTAAATTTTTGGATGTGGGATTTCAGTTCAGACGCATAATCGTTGTGGACAAGGAGAGCCACAACATTGCGAGTAGGGTAATGAATGTCAAGAATGCGGCTATTGCTAATGTCCAGTTGATGAAGACGGCCTCTCAATTGCCCGACGGGCACACGGGCTTTAGTCGGTATATAGACATACTGAAAACCTTGGTTCTCAGAAGGTGGTTGTAAAAATCGAGCAGCAGTTTCCTCACGTTGTACTCGACGTTGTTGACGCTTTTCGAGCATGGAGGCTTTGATACTATTGAGCCGGGCTGCGTCTCGCCAAGGAGGGAGTGGTTGGGAGGAGGGGTGCAGAGGTGGGAATTGAGGATCATTTAAGTCAGTAAAGGACTTGGAATTAGCAGAAGCTTGTTGGTTACGCAATGCTTGGATTTCCTCGTGAGCTCGTTTGAGTTCAGCTTGGGTCTGTTTAAGGTCGGCATATAGTTTCTCGAAGGTAGATTGCAAATCGGCTATGGTTACACTGGGTGCCAAACCATTGTTCATGCAGTCATTTCAGAAAGTGAAGTCGCTGATTTTGAGTTTGATGTCGTGCAAAAAAATACGTGTTCAACAATGATGTCGACTAAACCAAAAATAAAGTCGTAACTCATTCTGCTAAATGTTTCGCTAAATACCTCAATAAAGAGAAGGTATAAGGTTGAATCCAGTGCAAAGTAGGCCACCTGGCCACTCTTTTTTTTTTTACCAGCGTAAAATGGGCTACCTAACCCTGGTTATTTTATTTTTTTGATCTGTGAAAAATGTCCTGCTTATAAATAAAATGGTATTGAGGATAAGAGTGGATAGATATACATGATAGGAGTAGTAAACTTTTTTTTTTTTTTTTGCTGGTTGATGTGGTGACTACAATGCTGTTGCAGCTGCTGCAATAACTATCGCGATCGTTTTACACATTCTCTCCGACATCGAAATTTGTTGAGGATCTTGATGTTTTTGAGCAAGTCATAACGAGAATATACTTCAACCTTATGACCAATATTCATTACCACTTCTCGTATGGACTTATTCAAAGATATGAATAACCTGATATCATCAGGATTGGTCGATAATCCGGCATAGTCAATTACCACAAGGCGAATTTGTCGAGCGGAATTTGTGATCTTGGTGATTAAGTCCTGTGTATTACCAGAGCAATCGTCGAAAGTATATGGTGGAGTTGTTGCATCCCGTTCGGTAATTGGGTCGTTGGCAGAAGTGTTGCAAGACACAAATACATCTTCACATAAGAGCTTCGTCTTCATCTTGTAGGTTTGGAGATTTACTAGCTTCTTTTTGGTTGTGTCAGGTTCATCGGTATTTGGTCTTCGTTCGTAACCAACAGTACATTTGGTGGCCATCGACGATTTGACCAGTGATCTATATTCCTGAATATTTGAAAGATCATCCTAAGTAAAATCTAATCAAAATAAGATACTTTCCTGGTATTACCTCTGTAAACTTTTTTGACGATATTGAGCAATCGGCCACGTTTTCTTTTTTTATTAGATTGCTTTCGAATAGTTGTACCCCATGAGCCACCTTTTGACAGCTAGGCGAAAAGGTCATCTGATGTGACAGTATCATCTGGAATATAAACTGAATCGAGGTCATGGACTTCAGTTGCCGAAAGAAAATACTCTTCCGTTATGCCTGGGATAGGTGTGGAAGGCATAATCTTAGCCACAAGATCAAGAACTGCTGATCGTGATGGTGGATGGAAACAATAAAGGATTCACTACTGTTGCTATCGTTGCATTGTTGTTTTTGTTTAGTATCTTGTGGGAGACGCTGGTATCTCCAAGGCTCCATGTTCACTTTCTTTGTTGAAATGGCGACTGCAATGGTGGGATCGCCATTGACTAACGTAACAGGTTCCAAACCAACATCTTTAAGTTGCTGTAATGCTGAAAGTTGATTCTCCAAAGCGATTTCGAGTCCGTAAATCGAACAAGCAGCATTAGCTGCAGATAATATGATTGACATAGGCGGTAAAAAAAAAAAGAGTGGCCAGATGGCCTACTTTGCACTGGATTCAACCTTATACCTTCTCTTTATTGAGGCATTTAGCGAAACATTTAGCAGAATGAATTACGACTTTATTTTTGTTTAAACATGACATTTTATTGATGGTCCAAATGAGCGCAAAAATAAAATAAAATAAACATCCGCCCGGACCCGTTCAATCCGTTTGGAAGTGAATGGTAGCGAAAAAGCCCCTTATGGGTACAAGGGTAAAAAATGTAAACGAAAATTAATGAGTAGGGTTATCGATAAAAAGTTAAATGAATTGCTTTAACCATACAAGAAGCTTTTGACCATGGGGATGCTTAGTAGAGATCAATTTGTTATGGTGTAGTTGATCTAATTCATGTAGTAGGGAGCATATAATCGGCCATCGTTGAGACCAGGTTAGAGCTAGGTTTGGGAACCAAAGGGCGTAAAGGAAGCATATTCAGAAGGAATGACAATGGATCTCGTATTGTTTCAGGCATGAACAGACGTCGATACATATCAAGGCAACTAATAGCGTGACTCTTAGATAGCTGTTGCATTGGGTGCTTAGGACATGTTTGAGGTTTGCTACCAGGAAGCCAGCCTAATCTCCAGCGTATACAGCGACTGCGCTCTGACTTGGACATGGGCAACCAGAGTATAGGATCCAGAGAAATTGATCGACGGCAGCTAGAAAGCAATTTGAAGTTTCGGCATCGTTGGCGGATCTCTAGATTCTGTTGCAAAAAGCGCTGTTTAGCAGCTTTGGGTGAGCGAGTATCGGGTTCATCAGTAGTAGATAGCATCGATTTCCAAAGCGATGTACGAGAGAGAGCGTACCACTGGCTTCATCTGGTATTGCGGATATAAGATAACAGACAAGTAAGCAGTGCGTCTTCTGTCAAATATAAGGAACGAAAGAGGAACTGTGCCTGTAGTATACTGGCTCGCTCCGACATGAGAGGAAGCTTGGACATGTGGAGCATAATCTTAGAGGACGCTTTACCTCGAGCACCGTAGATTTTCTTGATGCAACTATTCTGGGCTTCCTCTAGAGTATGAAGTTAAGAGATCGTGAAGCGATTGATGGCTAGACCGTATTCAAGCTGAAGTCGAACGATGTGAGCGTAAAACTTAGTGCAAAGAAGTTTGGAGAAACCGGAAGGATTCACACCAACAGATGACAGCATGTTCATCGTTGCAAGAGCCTTACGGGTATTACGTTGAATTGATTCCTCTGGATCGAGGTGCCCGCCCGGTTTAAAGGGGACGCCAAGGTATGCGAAAGATGTTTCTCTTGGTAATGGCTGATCGTAAAGGGTATATGTAATTGGATCTGTGCTACTGTCCAAGATCACGCATTTAGATGGATTCCATTTGTATACTATGATTTTCGCACTGCCGCAGTAAGTCAACCATATTTGAGCGTTCGGCGATGAGGGCTACATCGTCAGTATAGAGTAGGCAATTCAGGGACGGTATCATTTCCAGTGGTGACAAGCTAGATGGAAGAGCTTGAGTGCGCAGTTGAGCTGGTAGTTGGTTGATGTATATCGAGTAAAGACACACTGAGAGTATGGAACCCCGTAAAACGCCTGTTTTTGGACGAAATCGACGAGAAGTAGTATTAGAAAGTAAAACTTCGATTTGGACATCATCGAAAAGATTACGTAGTAGGCCCAGTAAAGGAGAACGACTTTATTTTTGGATCAGTCGAACATGAATTTTTTTGCACGACATCAAACTCAAAATCAGCGACTTTACTTTCTGAAATGACTGCTGGTAAATTTTGTCATTTATTTTTTCAAAACAAAGTTTTAAAATCGACTTATATCACGGCCAAAGCTCCATGTTAAAAACCTAATGTGTTGCATTAATAAATGTATAATAGAGTATTTAAGAACAAATATATACCAATGATAAGCAATTAGCATCTTGTTACGAGTATTCATGCTCATACTAAAGTAAGCAGATCTCCAAAGAAGCCAAGCAAGATGCCCTGATTTCTTGGCTGATCGATGCACTGACGACATGTCCAGTAATGCTTCTGATGTTCCAATATAGGCCATCATGCCTTTATTTCTAAACTTGAAGTCTGATATAGGCGAATTTACGCTGTTAAGGGCTAATAGTAATGAGTTAAGAACTATACATACTAGATTATTTTTAATATAGTACCTTTACTTAGATATCCAGCTTTCTGGGTAGCAACTAGAATAAACAAGAAACAATAAATATTGAGTTTTGAAATATGAGGGTATACCTTGTGCTGTTGCAGGAAGATCATTGTCCTTGATAGCTGCACAGTCACCAATTGCATATCTATATATAAAAGAGTTACTAGAAAGTATCAGTACAAGTTTAATACGTACACATTGGGGTAAGCAAGGCCTGATTCCCTATCAATTACTTGTAGTTTTCCATTTGTTAATATCCTTTTTATATACAAAAAAAAAAAATGAGAAATTGAATAGTATTGTTATTAATTATTGCCATTACCTTTGCTTCGAAGCATCCTTTGCCAAAGAAGAAAGTGATTTAACCAAAGGATTTTGCATTAAACCTGTTGACCAGACCAATAACCCATATGGAACTTTACATTGTTAGCCTTTCCCTAATGATAAAATAGCAAGTGTTACCTTTTCCTTCCTCTTTGATGATGACATGGTTCTTTGTCACCTCTTCAACATAGCGTTCTGGAAGTAAAGTCGAGTTAGTAAAAGCATGTGTTCCTTTAATGAAATATATTACGAGTCTTTATTTTTATGCCCTTTCTATCAAACTTCTTGTGGCAATAATCAGCCAAGCGAGAGTCAAAGGATCCCAAGATGTTAGGAGCAACGTCATAGAGAGTCATTCGAATGAAGGGCATCAGGGTGGGATACAAACGCGAAAGGTCATTGGCAATAAAGTCATATAGCTCACCTGAAAACTCGATTCCCTAAGAAAAAAAAATTAAGTATATAATGTATATAGAACAAGAAATCCTATTTACTGTGGGACCGCCTCCAACAACGACGAAATGAAGAAGATCTGCCTTATCTTTATCCGATACGCCTGGTTGTGATGCATTTTCAAAGCCTTTTTTTGTGTAATAGCGTGAGTATTGGGAGGAATGTAATATCTGATACTTACACTCGATAAGCCTTTTACGAATCTTTCTTGCATCATTCACATCTTTTAAAAAGAAAGCATGATCTTTTACACCAGGGATGCCAAACGTATTTGAGTAAGAACCAACGGCGATAATCAATTTATCATAGTCTAGTGTAAAACGCTTTTGTTCTTTTTGGTTCAATTGGAAGATTAGATAAGTTGATATACTTTAATGATAACTTACGGATATCGTCTACATTGTAAGTGCAGTGAGCAACACGACTGTCAAGGTCTATTTTTGTAAATCCTTGGATTAATTCTTGCTATTACAGATCTACTTGGTTTTACCTATTTCGTCACAGTAGGCTTGGTGATACTTTATGTTTTTAGAATAGCTTCTGACTGGTTCAGTAATACACCTAAATTCGAGCGTGCCCACGGACGTGCTTTACATAAAATGTGAACACAGATCATCATTTTCATATTCATGATTTACCTTGCAAGTAGAGGAGTGAACACAAAGTAATTTCTGATCGCAAAGTGTGTGTAAATGAAAAAGATACTGATAAGAGACTTTGGAAGTTACCTTGGAGACACTACGGATACATCATATCTTTCCTTGTCTAAATCCCTCATCAGCTTAAAGCCTTTTTATATACAGAGCGTTAGTATTTAATAAACAATATAGTTTTTTTCTAGTTACCTGCCCATCCTGATCCTGTTGATATTATACAAGATTGTTATTTTTTATAGTAAGTAATAAAGGCATATATTACCTAGTATAATCACTTTCTCTATAGTTTTAAGTTAGACAACAAACCTTTAACCTTTGTTTTTATCTATTTTTACCTTTTGTTTCTGCAGAAACACTTGACTTGGTTTGGAATGATTGCTTCACTATATAGCACAACGCGTTAACTATGATATCAAAAGCCAGTAATGTAATTACATTGTTGATGTAGAGGAATATGAAGAGAAGGTCTATTAGTAGGTAAGACACTACTGGATGAGCTCCATCGTTTTTGTATATCCCAGTTAAAATATCCATAGGATCTCTTGGAACGTAGAGTTAAACAAGACAAAGGATATCGCTTAGGTATAAAACGATAAGGTATTTTTTGCATTTTAATAACAAGAAAAAAAAGAGCTACTATTATATGAACATTTATATATACAAGCGTAGATTTTTATCTATTTGTGTGTGCGTGTGCATATATGCAATGGTTGATGCTTACCGCTGATAATCTATTTTCATTTATAATGTAAAATAGGAAATGTCATTGAAAGCATATGGCATCTCGGAAGTGTCTTTTAGGTTACCCCATGACCCAGTGCGGTTAGGAAACATTGGGTGGGGAAATACTCATCCAGTGGAAATTGCCCCATTTTTTACATGGTATAATGAGTACATCTTGTTCTTTGTAACGGATCTAGGCTTGCCAAGTATAATGAGTGTGAACAAATGGGCTTGGAGTAGATACGACGATCATTGGTAGATATTATCAAATAGGAATACAGTATTGTCATGATTGCTGATCTGTGCTACAAAAGGGTGTAGACTACATGAAAAGATAAGAATATCTACTTGGTGGTTCCTTGGGTATTTTTTTTTGGAGGCACAAATTATCATCCCTATGCTGCTCTTATTCCGAGTCTGAAACCAATAGAGTAAGACAACTTTTATACAATACAAAGTGTTTAAATACATGATATATAAAAAGTATCTATGACAACATATTAGATATTGTATTTTCTTAATGAGCGCTAGTGATCTTGGGTACTTTATCTTTGTTTAAATAAAGAATTAATGATTCATTCACGATTGACAACATTTGAAAGAATATAAAACTCCCTCTTCCCTTTCTCTGTTTTTTCTTTTCTTTTATTATCAACTCAAGCGCAATATGTATCAACCGTTTCCTGAATCTCATTATTCTGTTCCCAAGTTCCCTCGTGATGGTGGACCTAAACAATCTTCTGGTTGCTGTATCGTTTCTTAGAACCACTGTCACCCTTTAGTCATAGTTTGTCACTTTTTTGTAACTCAGTGACTTTGAACTTGCTTGGTTTTCTTATTTTTTTTTTTTTTTTGTATTATTTCTCTTGTCTGTCAAATGAACCATTCAATAAAAGGAACTGGTACCTATTCTCTTTTTTGTTATAGAGTGTAAAACATGAGTAACTAAAATCGACAAGCTGTACACGATAGAAAGTATGAAAAGTTCATTCAGTGGTTAAACAGCAATGCCTTTCCAGAAACGAAACTGGCTTTAGCCAACTTTCCGAGTAAGAAACAGAGATCTCACAAGTGTTTCTTATATTAAATATACCCTATTTTCAATGAAATAAATAGATACCGGCCGAGGTAAAATATAGACCAACAAAGACAGCAATAATTCGTTATTAAAAACAAAGGACTTTTTTTCAAGGTATGATGGCCACAGAAGACATTGAAGCAGGAGAAGTTATTGTTTCGGTACCCAATAATTTCTTGATTACGGATGAAAGCTTGATAAAACTTTATGGACCTCATTCACTCAGTTCTCACCAAATGCTGGCTTTACATCTTGTATTATTATCAAGGGACAAGCAGTCATGGTGGAAACCTTATGTCGATCTGTTGCCAATACATTTTAACACAATGCCAGCCAAATACCCCAAAATACTGTTTGATCATCTTCCTGCCTCTCTCAAAGAAGAGGTTCAACAACAACGAGAGAATATTCATGCCGATTATCTGACTTGTCAGAAATTTTTGAAATCCAAGTTTCCGACACAGCAAGAGATGAGCATCAAGGAGTTTGAATGGGCATGGCTCTGTGTAAATACTCGATGTATTCATATGACGCGTTCTGATCATTCTTCAAGTGGCGGAAGTATTGCTCTTGCACCTATGCTTGATTTCCTAAATCATACGACTGAAGCAAAGGTATATATACATGCATATTGAATAAAAACGATAGAATAATGAAACGCTTACCCCTCCCTATATCCATTAGACTGAAAGTGGATTTAACGTGAGAACCCAGTGCTTTGAGATTAAAACTCTGACACCTTATAAGAAAGGGGAACAGGTATACAATCAAGTAACATTGTGAACATCCTGATGATTAAAAGCTCTAGTAGGTGTTTATTAACTACGGGCCTCATGATAACTTGGCCATGCTGAGAGAATACGGATTCGTGTTGAAAGAAAATAGCTACAACTTTGTATTACTCGATAAAGAAGTTTGGTCTCTTTATTCAGAACTAGAGTCCAAAAGAGGATTGACTATCAAAAAGGACATACTAGAAGGATCAGGGTAATGGCGTGCTTATTATTACATATGTCTCCGTTTGTTAATTTCTGTGTATAGATATGCTGGAGATTATAGCGTCAAGAGAGGGGAAATTTCATTTCGTCTGATGGCCGCATTAAGGCTACTTGCACTGAATGGAACAACTGAACCCGGCTTCGATAGACGTGTCATGGATTGGCACGATGTAGTCATGGGCCAAGATGATATGATCAGTGTCGATAATGAAAGAAGAGCCTATATTATGCTTCAGTCTATATGTAAACGTGTAACCAAACAAGCAAAGGATGAACTTGAATTCCTTTCGGTAGGTCATAACAATATACCCTTCATATGATACTCATACAATGTCCGTAGACAATTTCAAAGACACATCCTCAAGAACAGATTCATCCCTTCGCATTGTATTTTTCTATTCAAATTTGGAAAGAGTCACTGGACATTGTTGAACAGGCTTTAGATTATCTATCAGACAAACTAACACGTATCTAACATAATGAAACAGGATATCCTTTATTGTAAATAGGAAATAAATAGTATATTTACATAGAACGCATAATTAAGCATGTGTGTGGGGTATATTGCATTCATATAAACCTGTTTTTACTAAAAAGATCCATAATATCTTGATACCTTAAAGTTGTACTGTTTATCATAATCACTTCCCGCATGAAATGACTTGAAACATGGTTTGCAGAAGAAACAAGGAGAATGTCCACTAATGATGTCGCCCTTCGTGATGTACCTATACATAAAAAGAATGAGTAACGTAAACACATTGACCATACAAAAAAATAGGCGCATACGAGGCAGGATAAATAGTACACATGCTACATTTGGCTCGCTTGTACATCAAAGTACGTGTTGTCTTTGGAAAGCCCTCGGTGGAGTCGTATTCACTAGGTGTCAGCAGTTTGATATCTTTGATCATAAATACATGCTCACAGTTGCTATTGTGAACATAGGCCAATGGGCGATTTAGCTGCAAGGCTATATCCTTTAGGCATGTATCTTCCATACAAAGCGCATTATACTTGAGCTTGCTTTTGTCAACTTTCTTTTTATCAAGCCACTCGTTAATTATTTTCTCATATACTTCTTTTGTATTCTGTTCGTGTCGAGCATCAATGTAGAACGTGTGATCCATATAAAAAAAGCTAGGTACTAGTTTTTTTTTATCTTTATCAAACAGATGCGCCTCAGCCTCTGCATTGTTATCATTGTCGTCTATTTCAGTTGGAAGGTCAGAGAAGCAGCTTATTGTGTCTCTTAGATCGCATAAACTGTGTGATCCCAGAATTTCGATTTCTTGTAATTTCTTTGTGTAGCTATCAGGCACATAAAAAAGCACAGTGATTACTGTTTCGTTTATGTCTGTAGGCTACCGATAAGAGGGTCAGACATTAGATAGGGGTGAAATGAACTTTGTCACTTACATTGACATCTTGGGTTGTGGTAGCTGAAGGGAGCTACAGAGGGGAGGACAATGATATTTTAGTTATATTATTAGAATGATCTATCTTTGCTTACTTCAGGCATTAAAGTAAAAGAGTAATAATCATGGTATCTAGCTAACAGCGTATATGCATCGACCACTCTAAGATAAACCACATGTTACAAACTTTTTTTAGATATGTAACAAGTCTTATTACCCCACTGATCTTAATGCGCTCTGCTTTATCTTTTTTGATATATCGTTAAAGGCCTCTTCAAGCTCAGACGTACCTTGAGAACTGCTTACTTCAGAAATGGCAGAAGGCGAGAGTGGCTGTGAAGATACGTTGATGGGTGTATTTGGAATAGAAGTATATGCAGCCGGAGTGCTAGCATAGCTGACGGATGTCCCGTTAGCACTGGACATACTTTCCTCTCGCATGAACTTTCTTCGCTTAGGGGCAATGGGGTTAATATACACTTTATCACTTTGAACTGTTCCTTCAAATAGTTCTAGAATGGCAACATCTTCATCATCCATTATACGTGTTGACGAAACGTCCTTGGCTTGTGGTCTTTTTAAAGTAATAGCATTGAAATTAGGCCGAATACGGACAGTTCTTGCGTGTAATTTCTTTACTATGAGATAGTTATCCAGAGAAATATATGGGAGTAGATCTGGATCTTGAAATGGTTCAGAACGTACAGACAGATCACTTTTAGGCTCTAATCTAAATATGTAGTCAATATATTATAAATATGTATATGCACATGCTTTAGTTACTTTAAGTCGCTATATTTCTGTTTTTTTGCTTTAAATTCTTCACTGTTCTCTATTTCAGCTTGTTGTTCAAATAGATCATTGAACTCATTCAGCAGATTACTTGGTGTTGTCATTTCGTCTATAAATACCACAACTTGAAGACAAAAATTTTTGGAATGGGGCTCAACGCTACTGGCTGACATTAAAATTGGTCAATGGACCAGAGGATAAGCCAACAATGAAGGATATCACCCGCCCACCCACTCCTTATCAAGACCTCGCTCATCAAGATCAAATAATAACTATATAACATTGTATTTCTTTTATTGGTTTTATATCCTTCCTTGTTGGCTCCATCCGACCGTCACATAAAATTCTCCATAGATTTCATTCGACGGAGAATGACCGCTTTAAAATATTTATATGAGTAAATCGAAAAATGATTATCATTGAATGTCAGATTTTTTTCTTAGGTGAACGACCCCGCAGAGTCTTTGTGCTTTGTGTAAGTCCTGTAGAAACCTAACAGCCATTAATATTAGAAGTAATATTATTGTTTACTGACCTTTTTCTTCTTAAATAATTAGTAATCTCAAAGTTTGAAAAATGCTTTCTTAATCTGTTTATAGTCTAACTTTGTTACAATATTATTTTGATATTTCTATTCAAATATACTAATTATTTGCTAATAAATATTTGAAATGAAAACACTTTAGTATTTTTTTATCCTAAATATTGTACTGAGGGGAGAGATGATCATATTGAATAATAATCAATAGAAAACAACTTTTCATGCACAGTTTTGACTGGCGATCAAAGCGATTTAGTTATTAGAATTATTTTGTGCTTTAAGCGCTTAGTAGAGGATCTCCCAGATGAACTCCTTACAAGTACTATTAAGGAATTTGGCCATTGTACTAGCTTCCCTCAATCAGCCATCAAGTCTTTGTTTGACAATGCTAAAAAAATGTCATTTTTACATGGACGAACATGACGATGTACTGTGTGGTGGTTTTTATTAAATGAAGCACCTGAAACCTGTGGGTGTAAGTATAGATTAACTTCAGAAAAAGTATTACGATAAGCTGTTCGGTTAGAAAACTTAGTGTTCTTATTTAAAACCTTTTTTGTTGGATTCAGACTTGTTGGTCTCTTTATTGAAATTCTGATCCTTTTATACCATTTACAAGTTATCAGAGTTATCAAAAGAAGTCAAGTATTATTAATACAATTGCTTTTACAAAAATGAGCCACGAACAGCGTAAGGCATTCTATCTTGATCCATCAAAGTAATCTTGCTACGCCAACTAGTTCAATTTCTTTTACTGGAAGGGGCCATAATCGACTTCAGCATATCAAACATATCTTAATTGATTTAAACTTGGTTTGGGTTGTGGCACTGGTTGATAAACTCAATCGGGACAGATAGCCTAAACCATAAAAAGTAGTAGCTTACAGAAATTCAAATGGCTAGCATAAACAATAGAAAGTCCTAGATGTTGGCTCCGCAGTCCTCAGAAATAGACTTTGAGTGTTCAATCCATCCCTTACAACCTTTTTTTGCTACTTTTCCAGTCGATTCGTATATAGATCTGTGAGACGATCATCTGCTGTCAATGGTGTTAGAAGAACACCAGCTTTTACTTTTGATCAAAATTCCTCAATTAGATTCAAGAAAAGAGAATTTGGTAATAAACATATATATTTATGTCCTCGTTCTTCGATTAGTGCTTGATTGCTTTTAGCTTATGAATAGGTGCATTATCCATAACAATATACTGACCTTTTATATTATCTAGTGTGTTCATTTCGTTGGTTAAGTAGGCCAAGAAGTGCTCAGCTCTTGTTCCAGCTTTATTATTTATTTTTACTTCCTTATCATCTGCTTTTCTTTTTTTAAAAGAAGCTGATTCTGGTTTTTAACAATCGCTTTTCGCAATGCTATTACTCTGTCGGAATTTCTCGCTGCTGGTGCCTCTTCAAGTTTCTTTAGAGCAATATTATGTTTATGTACTCTAATTTCTCAGTTTTAATTTTAACTCATCTAATACAGCAGTAGTATTCTTTTTGACATAGTCAACAAAAAATTTAGAATGCTCCTTAGTTAACTTTGAACAAGATCTTCCACAAGGTTTATTATAAGTCCCTGGAAGTCGTTTCTGCGAATCATTATTATACGTTTTTACATAATTTTGGGCAGTATAAAGATTGATTCCAGAGACTAAAGCTGCATCTTTGATAATGAAGCCTTCTTCAATGATGAAATCAAAGAGCTTTTCAATTTGTTCAACAGTACATTTCCTGTAAGAACCTCGGGTTTTGGCTACAGGAGTCTTGTTCTTTTTCTTTAATGACATTGACTCTGCAAAAATAAATACATCTCCAAATGAATTTTCATTGATTTTTTCTGGTGCATCAGCATCCATAAATTCATGCACACAAGATAATGAATTGCCAGTTTGTTTTATTTTCTCAGCCCATTCTTTACTCAAATTAAAATGGTCATTTTCAGTTTCCCCTTCCTCAGTTACTTCCATATCATCATCAGATGAAGTATCCATATCATTATCTGAAGTAATCTCTCTATTAGTCATAAACTCGCATGTTTGTTATAACATTTGAATTAAATAAAAAAGGTAATTGAATCACTTGCAGCCTTTTGGGTTATTTATATTTTTTTTTTTTTTACCTTGACGCAAATATATTTTTAATGTCAGTGCAAAAGCTTTCTAATCCTAACGCAAATTCATATTCAAAAAGCAGTATATTCAATCTGCTTCAATGCTACAGCTTAAACAGAAGTACATGTCGACTGCATCTGGGTGGTCTTTTGCAAGATCTGATTGATGCTCCGATTAAGGAAGTTGTTCGGGGTTACAATGTGACTGCGAAATATTTGGGACTATTCCGGCTTGGTATCAGAGTGAGAGGAGAGTTCTTCCACTTGAACAAGTAGAAAGCCTTATCCAAATGGTATGTAAAGATGAACAGCCCACAATCCATTCTTTTGGTATGCATCCATGTAAAAGAGGAGTATATAATGTGCGTATATGGATGGATGGATGATAAATGATGTTGACAAAAAGATATTCAATCAGTAAAAGAAGTGGATGGATGACGAAAGAGGGAGGAATGAATGCATCAATAGTGAAACGACATTATTATATACTCCCCAGACTGCATGACATTCCAAAAGACAGTGATTAGAAGGCTATATAACATGTATGCTTTGTGTGGAATGGATTCTAACCTGCTTTAATATATAGCCTTCTCAAAAGTCTTTCATCACCAAGGTTAAGCTCGGCAAGGCTAAGAAGCAAAACCGCCCTTTGCCCCACTGGTTCCGTCTCAAGACTGACACCAAGATCCGGTAAATAAAACAATTAAATATTTTAAACAGTAAAACTAACGATGTAAATATAGCTGGAACGCTAAGCGTAGAAACTGGCGCCACACCAAGTTGAACATCTAAATGATTAAGCAACAAGAGGAAGTAGTTGAACTTTATTATTATTATTCAACATTTAAGTGTGTATGAAAGCTGTAATAAAGTATATAAATTCCTTTCTACAACAAAAACCAGAAAGAACAAAAAAGAAAGAGGGAAAAGAAAGGGGAGCTCTTGACTGGGGGTTTTTTTTACAGTTGTGGTTGGCATGTACAAATGTATGAATGCATAATAATATATAAAAGTGTGTGTGTGCAAAGCTAGATACAATATATGATTACTGACCAAATGTATTTTCACCAGAGTAGCTAAAAATACATATATATAAGTGAGGGACATAATCTGTATATAAAAGACTTACGTTATGTACAAAAAACCATCGTCGTCTTTATGTTCTTCATATATAGAGCTCATGAGAGCTAATATAAAATGTTTAGAAAAAAAAAAAAGAGATAAATAAGATTATTTTAATACCTGCGGCAGGAGGTAAAATCTCATTAACGAATATAAAGATGGCTTTCTCTGGGTTTAGTTTGATTCTTTTTCGAATGACATAAACGAATTGACCCACAGTGAGGTCTGCTGGAACGAGATATTTCTTCTTATCTATCGTCGGTATATCACTCTTTTCAACCTTTTCACATATGACTGGGATTCGATCGGGATACTTTTGTCTTATACGATCTGCTTCTGCCTTTCTTTTTTCTAGAAAGTAAAGCATTATTACTATATTCATTAGTCGCTTTCACAACTTACCAAATGTATGTTCGCCCTTAAACTTTGATCTCATTCTTATATATTAAAGAGAAAAAAGAGAAAGAAAAAAAACTAAAAAGTGAAATATAAATACTTGGAATCATATCCGCGTGAAAAATGTCACGTTATGAGTGAATGATAAGGACTGATGATTGGATATAAACAATACTTTCAAATGTATTAATTAATCATTTTCCAGAATTGAACTTGTATTAAAAAGAGATGTATGCCTTTTTTTTTATCCAAAACTATTTACTCTGCTTCATAGGATGAATAATAAAAATAGGCTTGTTTTTTTCAAAACACATAGTGTGTAACAGTAAGATCAGGCACAGATCAAGTCGCCTTGACCACTTTTTGTATCATGTGTCCCACTTGCATCATAGCATACCGCAGCATGATACGCCATCACTTTTTTTAAAGTTTAAATATTTATGCCAGAAATTGTATGCCACAGTTTATAGAAAAAAATTCACACTTTAATACAGAAAAAATTTATGTAAAGAGTTATGCATTAACTACAAGTAATATACGCGAGAGTCGTTCAATAAGGGCAAGATGAATAGGAAAACAGTTGTTGTTAGATGGCATGATATTCACAAAGGATAAATCATGGTATTTCTTGATTATGTCTCTTAATGTGCTGTATGCTGAATGATTGGTTTGATTAAAAACTAAATGTATCTATAAAGAACTAAGTATACACACACACTATTATAAAGAATTTCCCTTATTACCTCTATAACTGGTAGGTTACAATTAAATAGTTCATGACATGAATTTTCTGTAGGTAGTGGAGTATGGATCATGTAGCCACTGGCTAAGGGTATCATCCAGCTCTCTGTAGCAGAAATCGGGTTCATGGTTAAGGTAGCAAGAGATGCGCGTTCTCTTTTGGTGGAATAAGCAACGCGATGATTCAGTAGCAGCGCCTTTGTCTGACCTGCTCCATTTTCATCAACTGAAGATACTGGCTTTTTATGATTAAATCCTGATCCCATTCCTCCTATGCTTCCTGGATTCATCATGGCTTGAGCGCTATTGTTGCTTATAGGATCTATGCCAATGCCAACGGTCGATGATGCAGATTCATTCGCATGACCGCTTGGAATCGGTGAAACATGTAACGGTGATTCAAGGTCTAAACACACAATGGCCGCTTTCTCTTCTGATCCAGTACAGTTTAGCCATGCCTTTAGTTCATCTTCAAACATGAGACCAATCTTTGCTATCACAAACGTCCATGAATATCCTGTTCGCTTAGAGATGGCTTTGGTGCGGCGCCATGCTTCTCCAAACATGTCCTGTCGGGTTTGATTGCCGAGACGACTGTCCAATGTTGCGTATTCTATTAGTTCTCCATTGTTATCAGTCCATACAATAATCATCCATCTATCATCAAAGCTAAAGCAGTAACCTATATGTAGCACAGCATGGCCATCAAGTATGGTAGGAAAAGTGGGAAGTTTCTTCTTTAGTGAGTACTGTATGTTAGTCGGTACCGGCTTCGGTAGCACAAAGGGAGGTGCATAGATCTCAGCTACTAAAGGTGCATGATCAGAGAATCCATTGCGTTGTCTTGTCACAATAGCATGGCATTTAGTGTAGACAGAAAATGCCATCTCTTTCAGCCCAAATTTCAAACATCCGCCAAACGAGGAGGGTCGTAGGACGTGTTCTGCGGGAACAAGTTGCATAACAGGCTTTGAGCCTGCAGCCTTGACGTTAGCACGACTGTAGGCTTCCATCAACCCGCCAAAGCACCGGGTAAGCTGAATGTTGGATGATAGGCTTGTCAGAGGGTTAAGCAAATAAATGACATGATAAACGTTTTCGTTAGAAGCATTTCCCAGAGCTGCACCCAAGTTTTGACATTCCGCTGCATAGCTTCGAATCTGTTGATCCTCAAAAGATTCATTAGGTAAAGATGCTATAG